TTCAAATTAAAGCTTCACTCAACTAGGTCTATAACATACTAAGTTTAAATCTCAATCGATTCCCTTCGTACCGAGGGATAAGAAGACTTTTTTACTTTTCCGCAAACCACTTACGTCAAGGTTATCCCAGAAATTGGGTTCTTTGCATGCCCGGATCAAATCATCCCTTCTAACCGTCATATGAATTTTGTAAAGTTAGCTCTTTTTTTTCCCAATAGGGGAGGGGCTTGCTACTGATACCCCTTCAGAGTTTTTGCCAGACACGGGACTAGAACAAGATTTGAATTTTTTGGCAGTGTTGGCTCTGATGAATAGGCAACTTTTCGCTGTTAATTCTGATGTTTCTTCTGCATTTTTGGGGCAGAACATCAAGAGCTTATTTAAGGGTCAACCCAAAGACTATGGGGTCCTCCAACTCAAGTTTCATTCTTTCCCTGTAATTACTTCCCAAGTTGCCCCATTTCCAAGTTTCTCTATCATTTTTCCGAGAAAGGGCTATTAACGCCGGAAGTAGTTGCCGGAAGACTTCATCAACAATTGATCTTTTGGGTGGTGGGTAAATGGTGTCTTATGCCGTCCTTAAACTATTTTTTTCTGATTCATAACCTTGCATAAATTGCCTATTTCTCGTCTGAAGATATATTTTTGAAATCAAATAGGTTCAGGTCCAGCCTTTGGATCAGGTTCGAACTAAATTACATGATGTACCTGGCCGTTATCTATCATATTCGAAGGTTATGTTTCTCTGTGCTGCTTAGAACCAATAAAACGGAAATCGTTGTGGGGACCATTTAATTAGAGCATAATACCGGAAGTAGGGTTTAAGGAGGTCTTAGGTTTCAAATTAAAGCTTCACTCAACTAGGTCTATAACATACTAAGTTTAAATCTCAATCGATTCCCTTCGTACCGAGGGATAAGAAGACTTTTTTACTTTTCCGCAAACCACTTACGTCAAGGTTATCCCAGAAATTGGGTTCTTTGCATGCCCGGATCAAATCATCCCTTCTTACCGTCATATGAATTTTGTAAAGTTAGCTCTTTTTTTTCCCAATAGGGGAGGGGCTTGCTACTGATACCCCTTCAGAGTTTTTGCCAGACACGGGACTAGAACAAGATTTGAATTTTTTGGCAGTGTTGGCTCTGATGAATAGGCAACTTTTCGCTGTTAATTCTGATGTTTCTTCTGCATTTTTGGGGCAGAACATCAAGAGCTTATTTAAGGGTCAACCCAAAGACTATGGGGTCCTCCAACTCAAGTTTCATTCTTTCCCTGTAATTACTTCCCAAGTTGCCCCATTTCCAAGTTTCTCTATCATTTTTCCGAGAAAGGGCTATTAACGCCGGAAGTAGTTGCCGGAAGACTTCATCAACAATTGATCTTTTGGGTGGTGGGTAAATGGTGTCTAATGCCGTCCTTAAACTATTTTTTTCTGATTCATAACCTTGCATAAATTGCCTATTTCTCGTCTGAAGATATATTTTTGAAATCAAATAGGTTCAGGTCCAGCCTTTGGATCAGGTTCGAGCTAAATTACATGATGTACCTGGCCGTTATCTATCATATTCGAAGGTTATGTTTCTCTGTGCTGCTTAGAACCAATAAAACGGAAATCGTTGTGGGGACCATTTAATTAGAGCATAATACCGGAAGTAGGGTTTAAGGTGGTCTTAGGTTTCAAATTAAAGCTTCACTCAACTAGGTCTATAACATACTAAGTTTAAATTTCAATCGATTCCCTTCGTACCGAGAGATAAGAAGACTTTTTTACTTTTTCGCAAACCACTTATGTCAAGGTTATCCCAGAAATTGGGTTCTTTGCATGCCCGGATCAAATCATCCCTTCTAAGCGTCATATGAATTTTGTAAAGTTAGCTCTTTTTTTCCCAATAGGGGAGGGGCTTGCTACTGATACCCATTCAGAGTTTTTGCCAGACATGGGACTAGAACAAGATTCGAAGTGTTGGGGCTGATGAATAGGCAACTTTTCCGCTGTTAACCCTGATGTTTCTTCTGCATTTTTGGGTCAAAAAATCAAGAGCTCATTTACGGGTCAACCCAAAGACTATCGGGTCCTCCAACTCGAGTTTCATTCTTGTCCCATAATTACTTCCCAAGTTGTCCCATTTCCAAGTTTCATTATAATTTTTCCGGGGAAAGGGCTATTAACACAAGAAGTAGTTGCCGGAAGACTTCATCAACTATTGATATTTTGCGTGGTGGGTAATTGGTGTCTAATGCCGTCCTAAAACTGTTTTTATCTGATTCATAATTTTGCGTAAATTTCCTATTTCCCGTCTGAAGATACAGTTTTTCAAATCTAATTACTTCAATTTCAGCCTTTGGACCTAGCTTGAACTAAATTACATGATGTACCTGGCCGTTATCCATCAAATTCGAAGGTAATGTTTCTCTGTGTTGCTTAGGGGCCAACAAAACGGAATTCGCTTGAGGACCATTTAATTAGAGCAAAAAACTGGAAGTAGGGTTCAAGGAGGTCTTGGGTTTCAAATTAAAGATTCGCTCAACTAGGTCTATAACATACTAAGTTTAAATCTCAATCGATTCGCTTGGTACCGATGGATAAGAGGATTTTTTAATTTTCCGCAAACCACTTGTGTCAAGGTAATCCAAGAAATTCGGGTCTTTGCATGCCCGGATCAAATCACCTCTAACAATCGTCATATGAGTTTTGTAAAGTTAGCTTGTTTATTTCCCATTAGAAGAGGGGGCTTGCTACTGATACCCCTTCAGAGTTTTTGCCAGACATGGGACTAGAACAAGATTCGAATTTTTGCAGTGTTGAGTATGATGAGTAGGCCACTTTCCGAAGTTAATCCTGACGTTTCTTCTGCATTTTTGGGTCATAACATCAAGAGCTCATTCAAGGGTCACCCTGGTTACTATGGGGTCCTACATATCAGTTTTCATCCTTATCCCATAACTACTTCCCAAGTTATCTCAATCCAAGTTTCATTATAATTTTTCCGGGGAAAGGGCTTTTAACACCAAAAGTAGTTGCCGGAAGACTTCATCCACTTTTGATCTTTTGCGTGGTGGGTAATTAGGGTCTAATGCCGTCCTAAAACTATTTTAATCTCATTCATAATTTTGCGTAAATTGCCTCTTTCCCGTCTAAAGGTATAGTTTTTTAAATCTAATAACTTCAGGTCCCGCCATTGATTCTGGTTCGAACTAAGTTACATGATGTACTTGGCCGTTATCTATCAAGTTCGAAGGTTATGTTTCTCTGTGTTGCTTAGGGATCAACAAAACGGAAATCGTTGTGGGGATAACTTAATTTCAGCATAAACCCGGAAGTAGCGTTCATGGAGGTCTTGGTTTCTAAAACGAAGCTTTGCTCAACAAGGTCTATATCATACTAAATTTAAGTATCAATCAATCCGCTTCGTACCGAGTGATAAGAAGATCTTTTTTCTGCAAACTACCTGTGTCAAGTTAATCCCAGAAATTGGGGTCTTTGCATGCCCGGATCAAATCATCTCTTTTAACCGTCATATGAATTTTGTAAAGCTAGCTCGTCTATTTCCCATTAAGGGAGGGAGCTCGCTACTGATACACCTTCAGAGTTTTTGTCAGACACGCGTCTAGAACGAACAAGATTTGAATTTTTTGGCACTGTTGGTGCTGATGAATAGGCAACTTTCCGCTGTTAATTCTGATGTTTCTTCTGCATTTTTGGGTCAAAACATCGAGAACTCATTTAAGGGTCAACCCAAAGACTATCGGGTCCTCCAACTCAAGTTTCTTTCTTGTCCTAAAACTACTTCCCAAGTTGTCCCATTTTCAAGTTTCATTATCATTTTTCCCGGGAAGGGCTATTAACACCGGAAGTAGTTGCCGGAAGACTTCATCAACTATTGATCTTGTGCGTGGTAGGTAATTAGCGTCTAATGCCGTCCTAAAATTATTGTTATCTGAATCATAATTTTGCGTAAATTGCCTGCTTACCATCTGAAAATTTATTTTTTAAAATCTAATAACTTCAGGTCCAGCCTTTGGATCTTGTTCGAGTTAAATTACATGATGTACCTAGCCGCTGCCTATCAATTTCGGCTCTCTGCGTTCCCTGAGGGCCGATAAAGGACTTGTGGAAATCGTCATGGCTACTTTTAACCAAAAGCAAAACGCCGGAAGTAAGCGTCAAGTGGGTCTGGGGTTCTTAACTTAGGCTTCCCTAAGCCAGGTCTATAATATAGCTGTTTTTGGTCCCATTCCAAACGTTTGGTACTGAGTTCTAACAGGGCTTTGTACACTTCCGGAAACCACCTTGGCCAAGGATGTCCAAGGGGTTTGAGTCTTGCCGTGGTCAAGTCATCTCTAGTAACCGTCCTAGGAGTTTTATAAAGTTAGTTCCATCATTTCCATTTTAGGGGGCTGCCCTATCAATCTCCCCTTGAACCTTTTGCCAGAGATGGGACTAGTGCTTTAACGATTCAAAAAGTTCAGAGATTTGTCATTTGTTTGCTTTTCCACTTATACTAATGATTAGTCAGTCATCTACGTACTATTCATCAGCTTCCACTTACTTAGAATTGTCAAAGTAAACTCTCTCTTCGGAGTTCTTAGCTCGCCGAACGTGTGTTAAAATCACTGATTGACTTTGATGGTCTGTAAAATCTCTTTTTGGGGGTGAAGAAGAACTCATATTCACCCCAGCACCCATACATATCAAATAGTTAAAAATGAAAAATCAGAGGGAAATTGATATCCAACTTTTAAGAAACAAGTTATTTTGAAACAAAAACTAGATTGAAATGAATGTTATGAATTGTTTCAAGTGAGTTGATTTATATTTTAGACAAATGAGGATCCAAACGAGGATCCAAACTTAGAAGTTCCTTTCCCAATTCGAACCAGGAAAACTAATGACCAGTTATCAGTAAGTTTGAAGGAAAACCAGGGGGAAAATATTTTAATTTTTCAAGTAAGTGGTCTCGTGAACAGATACATAACATTATTGAGGCGTAATCCATCCCTGTAAAACATACCGAAGTGGCATCAATGGAATTACACAAACTTCATATTCAAATTAGGCTTTTTATAGCATTTCAATTTTTTTTATTCCAACTCTTATCAGCTCCAAATTGATTCCAGTTATCAAATTGCTGTAAACTGTTTTCTTCCTTGTTTTAACAGAAATACCTTTTGGAAGAGCGTCAAAAAAGTCTTTGACGATCCTTCAATCTTGTTCGACATAACTTCACAATCAGTGTGAATAAAGAGTGAACAAAATCAGTGGGATTAGAATGGACGCGGCTGAGTTTCGAAAGAGAGGAAAGGAGATGGTGGACTACATAGCAGACTACCTGGACAGCGTGCATCACAGGAGGGTGTTCCCAGAAGTGGATCCAGGGTATCTGGACCAACTCATCCCCACGGAGGCGCCGGAGGAGGGGGAGAACTGGGATGAAATCATTAAGGTTGACAGCAGGATATGTATATGGCAGCTTGGATACATCTTTGAAGCTTAGAGTGCTTTAAGCTTAAATTTTCCAATCCTTGGGATATTGTGAAAGAAATTTTGAAATCTTAGCAGTTACTAAGATAACAGCGAAAAAAAAGATATCCAAAAATATCAGGGCTTTAGTTTTCATATAATCTTTGATATGTGCTCTCACACCTAATACATTCTTCTACGATCGTTGCTTTGTCGTTAAAACTTCTAGCTTCAAGGTTTTTGTCAAGACGTTGCAACGTTTCTGAAATTCTTTTCAAAAAATTTTGACACAAAGGTTGCAAAGATTGTTGGGTATCGAAGCAGGGGTTTGTATAGACGCCACACTGCCAAAAATTTCTCAAGTTTTAGGATATGCAGTTTTCATCGAACGGGGTAACCCCTAATTTTAAAAAGTGAAAAATGATTGAGCTGTTTTAGAGCAAATTTGAGATGAAATTGCGCGCCAAAAAAGAGCGCATTTTTTGGTTCATGTATTTTTTTGAGAAATCTCCACCCCATCGCATCCGGCTTTGAAAGTATTTTTATATGGACCAAAATGTTTCTATCAGTTCTCTTAAAACACTATGAACACCTTGTTTTGCATTTGCAAAAATGCGATTTCTGCCAAATGGGGTCAGGCGAGCAAGTTGTTAAAGAGTGGCGTCCCCCGGCCAGCCAGGATCAATTTAGATTCTTCTAAAAACAACGTCAAAAAACCGTTGTTTTTATGTCATAAAATAAGATCATTTTTGATGTTAGGACGTGGAGCGAGTGATCATGCCTGGCATGGTGCACTGGCAACACCCTGGCTTCCACGCCTACTTCCCAGCCGGCAACTCCTTCCCATCCATCATCGCAGACATGCTCGGAGATGGGCTGGGGTGAGTGAGACACCAAAACACATTCACGAAAAAGAAGACATATTAAGTAGAGTTCTGCTCAGTTCTGCTCAGTTACATGCAGAACTGAGCAGAATTGAACAATTCTTGAACGCCATTTAAGCAGAATTGAGCGGCATTTGAGTTGAAGTTTATTGGTTGATTTTTGTGACTTTTTCAAAACAGTTACATAATTATTGCCTAACTGCCCATTATTTTCAGCTGAATTATATGATAACTGATTTAAATTTTGACTGCATTAAATACCACCCCTACAATCACTCATCAATATATTAAACCTCAGTTTTCTTAAAACTAAAACAAAATTTAAAGCAAACAAGACTGCTCATGTATCAAAGCAGAGCCGTGAATATTCCAGCTGCCCCCTAAAAATATCGATTTTTTTCGCTAAGGAAAATATAGAAAAAAAACATAAACATTGAACGATATCAATTATAAAGTGTAAATTTTTGAGTTGCACGAAATTAATAGGACGGACTAGCTTCACTCAAGTCATTTTCGAACAACTTTGAAGTGCAAATTGTTCTCCATGTATAGATAAACTGCATTACGCTTGCAGCATCCCTTAAAAAATCTTCGCAGTGCGCATAAATTAGTTCAGAGCATAGCCAAATTGGCAATTTTTGAACCCCCTCAATTTACAAAAAAAAATTGAAGCTAAATATCTGTTTACATTAGAGCACAAGGAGTCGATATATTGAGAGCAAAACAGGCAAAAAAAATGAAAAAGAATTTTTTTTTTCATTTTTGCTTTTTCAATAATCTACCACACGCCAAGTACAAAGTGAAATATGTTGTGTATATATTTGCTTTCATTTAATTTGAAATGATCTGTTCTGACGCTACCTCTTTAATTGGACAAAAATACTTAGTGTTTAAGTCTGGAGTAAAAAGGTAAAATTGCCGGGAGAAAAAAACCATTCCAAGTAAAACGGTTTTGTAATTTTTTTTAACAGACGGAACAATAAAAAGTATACTCATATCTTTTAACCAAGAAGTTTTTAACGCGAAAATACGCGAATCTAAACTGAGAATGTGATCTGCAAATTTTATATTCAAAAATGAAATCAAGGAGCTGTGTAATTGATACTATGCAATCATAAATTTACTGAAATGTACAAAAAAAAGTTTTTTACTCCGACTATTGAAGAAAGTGACAGAATATTTGTGCTCGGGTTGTGCTAGAATATTTGTGCTGGAATATTTCGATTTTTTAACTTTTGACGGATTTTTGTTTATATCAGCCAAAAAGTACTGCTGTCCTGAGCTCAAAACTTAAAAAAAAAAAACATTTTAACTGTGATTATTTTTGGTTATTTATGAGAGTTTAATGCTGGCCAATATGGTTACTTTGAGAAAATTAACGCGCAATGTAATTCGCACTATTAACAAGTAAGCGGAGATTTAATTCCTCTTAGAAATCGTGCCATGTTGGTTGAAGCAGGCTATTTGTTATACTTTCTACGCTACTAGGAGCAAAATTTATCGCTTTGTTTTTTTATATGGCATGTGGGGAATAATTTTACAAAAAAATTTTGTGCAGTTTTTTTCCAAAAATGTATTGTTTTTCGATGGCTTCATAGACCATAAAGACAGTCAGAACAATCGGGGCTTGGCATCTCTAGACCTCTCAAACCTTCAGGAAATGGTTTTATTGTGCTTAGATTTCTTAGCAGCTCTTGAACATAAGGCTTACGCAGGCGTAAAACTAAATTCAACTCGTTTGAAAAATGTGCGCAAAATTGTGTGCCATAAAAATTGTACCATTAACTAGATGACCAAACTCAATTGCGGACTTGATATCAGAAGCGCATTAACAAAACAAATCATACAAGGTTTATTTCAGAGATGAGATCACTGTAAGGTTTTCATTTTGATTTGATTTTCATGTTTGGTTTCAAAAGATAAACGTATTTTTTAAATCATAACTCACTCGAAAGTAAGAAAAAAAAATTCGTTGTCAAAAATAAGTAGCTCATTTTTATGTTTACTCAATCTGAGACTTACCCGTTTGATATACGAAAGTAAACACTGCCCAAAATTGGATAAATCAGCAAGGTTTGCATTATCTGCAAACAGAAAAACTTTCCAGCTTTCTGGCACATTTGTAGTTTGCAGACATCAATTATATATTTTATGTAAGCCAGGAACAGATTGATGCTTCAAACTTTTTGCTGTTTTTGAATATGCTTTTACAATAACACAATTTCGGAACATATCATGATTGAGTGGACAATTAAAGTTTGCAAAACAAGAGTTTTCGATCAAATCTTTATAAGAATCTTTATCAATCACTTGTCTGAACTTCAACCATCTATCTTAAAAACAATTTTTTAAATACTCTTATTAATAGGATTGAAAAGAAGCTATAAAAAAAGAGTAAAATTATCGAACTTTTTTTCATATGATTATCATAAAATGCCAGAAATGCAAAAAAAATTCATTTGCTCGGTTCAAAACGACCAGTTGCAACTTTTTTGTCCAGTGATTGCAGTTATACATCCACGTTTGATTTTCGATAAATAAATTGCTAGACAACTATCAGGTTTACCCTACCTTCCGCAATATTGTAATTCACTTAAAATTATGTAATGATTTAAGGTAACAAACGCTATTTTAAATCTAAGAAAAAGTATGATTGTCCTTACCCCGGGTCCAGCTCCACGACTAGTTTTTCGACTTTGCCAGTCGCGCCGATGTCAGTTACGCGACCGAAAATCCATAATCTGGACAGGGTTTTAAATCGCTCACAAATTCTGGAAATTCAGCATAATTTTGTCTGTCATTTTTAACATGGCATCATTAGTGGGGTACATGGGTGTGAAGTATCGTATCGACTATAGATATTTTGGTGTCAATAGATTATCGCGATACATTGAAACCTCTCGACAGATCATCCGATAATCGTTTTCTAAACTGAATTAGTGGTCGTCCATCCAAGAAACTATGCATAGTGTTATTTAACACGATAAAAATATATACAGTTTTGTGGTACCCCAATACAAACTATAGGTCGTGTCGTAGCATAGTCCAATTTTGCGGATCTTATTCGAAGTTGGCACAGTCAGCACCCATATATCACAGAATAGAGATAAGAAACGTATCTAATTTGTTTTTCGTTTCATGAATAAGGTTAGCATGGTGGCACATTTTTTGTACTCAGAGAAAAAACTCAAAATGCCGAAATTCTGAAAATTTTACGTGAGTAGCCCCAACTAAAAGCTTGTCGATCGATATTTCGATATATTGTATCGCAATATGTCGGATATGCGAATATCGATTTCCCACCCCTGGTGCGGTACATTTTTTCTGAACCCAAACTTCTAATTAAACAAAACTGTAACTTTTTGAAAAACCATACACAGTCTCTACATAGTTGTCTCGAATTCTTTGTTACAGATGTTATGTAACGTTATTGGACGATAGTCGCTTCACAGTTGCATAACCTATCGACAGCCTAGTCTCTTTTAAAAAGTAATTTTTACAATAACACTTTTGTAGCAAGACAGTCTAATTTTCTCCAATAGATGAATATTTGCAGCTGTGTGGGTTTCTCGTGGGCCTCCAGTCCGGCTTGTACAGAGTTGGAGACTGTGATGTTAGACTGGGTGGGGAAGATGCTCCAACTGCCCCCCGAGTTCCTCTTCTCCCCCTCCCAAGGAAGAGGCGGAGGGGTTCTGCAGGTTGGATCAATCGAAGAAAAAATTCCGAAATTTTGCACAATTTACATTTGAGTAGAATCATTGCACATTCAAAGCGCATTGAAAAGTGAAAAAAAAAAGCAAGGGATGGTGTCGCGTTTGAGCTAAACTCGTCAGTTACAGATTCTTAGGCCCTTTATCGTCTTTTTTGTTAATGGTTTTTGAATGATTTCTCTAGAAAAAAAAACAAGTCAAGATCCCTCCATAGGACAGGACCTGGACCTTTTCACCACACAAACGGTCCGCTTTATCATTTTAGAGCCCATTTTGGCTGAACAACCTTAAGAATTCCTATAAGCGCCTTTGGGAACAACAGTTGGTGGTAGCCTTCATAGCAAAATTGGGCACTTTTGATATTGTAAGAAAGCTAAGAAAACTAAACAGGTCTACCTTTATGAACATTTAAATCCACATTATTCACATGAAGATCTCAAATCTGCTCCTTATGCAAGTAATAGTCCCTCCCCTGGTCGAGGTCCGCAATTTATGTTGCGACAGAATTGAGTCACTGAAACTGACATTTCGCGACCGAAATTCCACACTCCCGCCCGAGGGGTCCCGCAAAGTCGCAACATATCTAAAAACTGGTCACATAAAGTCGCAACATTAGTCGCGCAAAGTCGCAACTAGTGTTGAGAAAATTATGAAACGGTAAAATGAGCAGCAAGAAGTGTCAATTTGAATTGCACACTATAAAAAATTTGAAAGAGTTTTCATAATGGAATTTGCTGATCATATTTGCTGATCACATACAGGACCGCCATAAGAAGGCCCCCGTAACCAGGGGATTTTCTGTGCAAGATCTGAAAATCTTTATTTCTTACATAAGTTAATTCTCAGATCTGAAATTCTTTATTTCAGATCTTGATAAGAATTTACAAATTTCAGATCTGAAATGACGAAGAAAAAGTAAATTTCACATATGAAATTAGATCTGAAATAGGTTTTTTCAGATCTGAAATAACCAAGAAAAAAAAATTTCAGACTTGAAATTAGATCTGAAATAACCAATCCCTAAAGTATTCAAGCGCTATTTAAACGTTTCACAACCTATTTCAGATCTGAAAACGATTATTTCAGATCTGTTTTAGAAAATTTTCTGGTTACGGGTCTACACATGGTCCCGAAGTAAAATATAATTTTTTTTTGGGGCAACAACAGAGTCGTCACCACAAACACAAAAAACTAGAAAACAATCAAGTCAAACACTCAGTCAAACAGTGATCAAAATACACAACAAGCGTCAGTTAAACATATCAATTAAATAACACACACACATTTGTCCCTTACGCAATAAGTCACTTACCTTTACAAGAAACAATTTTTTTTGCTTTTTTTGAAAAGTTTGGTAGCATTTGCACAAATTGCCTGATTCGAGGTCCGCGACTTTTTTTTTCTTTGTCGATCGCGCCGATGTTGCTTTCGCGATCAACAATTTACAGCCTGGACAAAATTTTGAATGATGTGAATTTTTTGATGTTATTTTAAAAAAAAAAGAAGAGTCATCTATTTTCGAAGAGAGCTTGTAGAAAGTGTTTCAAAAATCACTCTTGGATCTCTGAGATAACTTTCTTATATGCTTTTCTCTTCCAGGGCTCTGCGAGTGACTGCATTCTGGTGGCGCTTCTCTCCGCCAGGACTAACTGTCTGAGGGAACTGAGGGAGGAGAACCCCTGCAGCGAGGATGGGGAGTTTCTCTCCAAGATGGTGGCCTACTGTTCCAAACAGGCCCACTCGAGCATGGAGAAGGCGGCCATGATAGCCTGTGTGCAGATCAGACAACTTCCCACTGATTCTGAGTTCTCGCTAAGAGGAGACACTCTTAAGGTTAGTTCACTCTGAGTTATTAAAAGTTTCTTCTGTTTTCACCCTGCCTCTTTTTTGCTCAATATAATTTCATGCTAATAACTTTCTACGCTAAAAGTTTTTTCACCCCCGAAACTTTTTGAGCTGAAAAACTATTTCCAATCAGTAAAAAAAATGTTTTAGTAACACAAATCATTCAAGGCAATGTCAAATTATACAAATTCTGCATGATAAATGAAAACCAACTTAGTCAAAATTAGTATAAGTTTGCGTTCGGTATTCGAATGAGTTTCTCAGCACTTCAAGTCACCATCAAAATCTTTAAGTCTTAATTGCAACTCTTTCATCTTTCGGACACAACAGAAACAATGGTAGCTGAAGCGTGCGGGAGGTCTTTTAACTTGAGTGAGTATTCAATCATGTTTATTTTCACGTCAGCCAATTCCAATTTTCCCTGAGTTCGGTGATCCTAAAAGAATCTTATTTGTTGGAAGCTGCGGTTTTATTGCGCCACATACAATGCAAATAAGAGAAATTTTTAAGATGTTTCAGAACAAATGTTCTTATTCAAGTACTGAAAAGAAGAAAAAATGTAATTCTTCTGAAAAATTCAAAAAAAAAGAAAAAAGGATTCTTGTTCAACTGTAGGCGGCCATTGCGTCTGACCGTGAGCAGGGTCTGATTCCTATCTTTGTGGGGGCCACTCTAGGCACCACTTCTTCAGTCGCTTTCGACAACATAGCCGAGTTGGGACTGGTCTGCCACAAGGAACAAGTGTGGCTACACGTGGACGGCGCATATGCTGGCAATGCGATGATATGTCCCGAGTTCAGATACCTCCTCGATGGCATCGAACATGCCAAGTTATTTTTAAGATTTTGTTGAGGGTTTTTGGTTGTGTTTTTTATTCATACTTTGTTAATTTTTGACAATATTTTCGTTTTTTTTTTCGTTGTTAAACGTATACAAACGAAAACTGAAAATAATCTTGTGAGTAGAACTTACAACGATCTGAAAGCATTTCTTCAAATTTCAATAATCTCGGCCACTGATTCTAACATCCAGCTTCAAATATCTCGCTGGCTTCGAAAAATCCAAGTACCTGAAATAATCTCATTTTTATCTCGCTTATTTTCAAAATGATTTCCAGCAATTTTTGATACCTAAATGAAAATTCCTAGTCGATAAAATGTCATGATCAAAGAAAACCCTCCGGAACGTGATCTGTAATCCCATAATTTATTCCAAAAAAAAACCTTCTCTGCCGAGAAAATAGGTCTGAACTCTTACTATTCGAACTAATTTAACAAACTCAAAATTACGAAAATAATTAAGTTATCGTAATTTAATCGATTTTAAAATCTTTTTGGAGTGATTACTGTAGTACCTGTTATAATGATTTAAGTTCGTTCAACATAAACCCAAACAAGTGGATGTTGGTGAACTTCGACTGTTCCTGTATGTGGGTGAAGGATTCCAATTCCATCAAAGGAGCATTCAATGTCGACCCACTATACCTGCAGCACAAAAACACAGGTCAGTCTGCACATCAAAACCATCACTCTTTTTTTTTCAGTATCAGTCGGATCGGCTTAAAGATCATATGGCTCATGATATATTAAAAAAAAGATTTTTGAAGCAAATTTTTTTGGAATTTTTAGGAATTCTTCTAAATAAAGTAGAAAAAAATCCACTTTCTACTGAAATTTATCTTTTATATGGAACATTGAGCTTTTTTTGTTGTTTTAAAAGTCTTTCTTACACCATTTTTGGCTCTGCACAGGATCCTGTATCGACTACAGACACTGGGGCATTCCGCTGAGTCGGAGGTTCCGATCACTTAAGCTTTGGTTTGTGATTCGCAACTACGGAGTGGAGGGACTGAGGAACTACATCAGAAGACACTGTAAACTCGCCAAGAAGTTCGAGTTAGTCAGTCACTATCCAAGGAACTTATCGTGAAAAAAGTGTAAAAATTGTATTTAAGCTGTAGCATTTATTGTCACAGAAAAAGCTTCTATAATTCGTAATTTGTTCATACAACGTCAGCAAACAAAGCTTTTTGCAATATATTAAGTTTCAAAACAATTTTTTTTCTTGGCTTGAACTTTAATTTTAAAAATTTTAAATTGGAACAGTTAAAAAGTGCTGAAAAAATGGGAGCTTGTATATACCTTAAAATACCAGTCGCTCAGCAAACTCCAATATCATATCAGAAACGTATTAATTAGCATGCTCTCAGTTGGATGCTCCCAGGTAGGCGTGGATCTAGGTGTTTCTGCGAGGGGAGCGTTTTTTCGTCAAGATTTGTCGACTTTCTGAGGAATAATGAAATTGATTTCCTGAGTTGTCCAAAAACACTACATAAACACTGTTTCAAAACGCATGCAAAAAAGTTTTTGGACGATTCTGACCAAAAAGTTGCGTTTTTGGAAAGTTTTGACCAAAAAGTGCGTTTTTTGGCGCACGCGCTCTCTTAAATATTAACGCCGATGTCAGCTTAAGCAAAGCTTGCTTACGATTTGATAGAGCGGTAAAGGAAATCGAAAAATAGTTTCAGAGGGGACTCTTTAAGTGATCAGGGTGTTGAATCCCCAAAAAAGCGTATACTCCACACACTTTCCCCCCAAACTCCGTCACTGGATACTTCAAATTTGATTAGAAGCGTATCCATGAAGCAAACTTAATAGAAGCAAACTAAATGAAACAATTTTAGATAGAACCAAGGTTTAATTATGCTCAAATGGCAGAATTAGAAATTTGCAAACTCCCATAACTTCACAAAAACTTATCAAAGGTAAAGTTTTTTATTTGAGCTCAGGAGACAGCGATATCTTTTAGATATATTGAGAAATAAATCAAAAACTATATTGCCATATTTTGACAGAATAAAAAAAACCTGCGCATAAAGATTCCGTCATTTTCTTAAAACAATAAAAAAACATAATGAAAACGTTATTTTTAAAATATTTCCACACGCTGATAAACTAACCGATATGTTTATTGACTGATAACTTATTAAAATGGTAAAGTAGGTTGCCTCAATTCAATTTCTAAGCAAGATCATATCGCGACCTAAGCCACTCGTTATTAGAAAAGTGGTTTCACACCTTAGTAATTTTGCGAAAAACAATCAAGGTAATTTTTCTTAGTTTCGAGTTCATTCCACTAATATATGTCATTACGGGGCCAAACTGTGCTTTAGATAAGCGCACAATTTTGTGCCTGAATGTTCCTGGATTCCAGAGACATGTCCTTAATAATGTTCCAAATGTAAGTGGATTCAAAATTTCCCTGGATTCCGCGTACAAATACCTGTAACGTAAATTTTGACGGTACATTAATTTTGTCTCGGATTCCGCAACGAGCGAAAATAGGTAGTTCTTCCGGATTCCGCAAATGTAAGCAAATTTTACAAAAGTAAGTGGATTCCACAAACTTATGCGGATTCAGCTGATAATTTGTGGATTCCGTTTGCATTTTGCGGATTTTGCTTACAGTTACGGATTCTACTACAGTTTAAGCTTACTAAACACATATAATACTTGTTTGTGGATTCCACAAACTGTTTCGGTTTCCGCAAATTTTGTAGCGGATTCCAAAAAATTTGTTGCGGATTACGCAAGTTGCCTAATTTTGGAGCAATTTCGAGCAATAGATTGCTTCAGCTATTTGTCCAGGGAATCTAAAACAGCAAAGAAGATCATAAAAATTAGCAATGTTGCGGATTCCGCAACAATTCTGTTTTTCGCCTGTTGTGGAATCCGCTTAAAATTCACAAAATGTACAGTTTGGCCTCGTAATGTTCCAATGGTACATATTGATCGTAGCTTTTATTAAAGTTATCGACGTCAATTGTAACTTTGCGCTGGATCACAAGTACGTAAAGTATCAAAACTGAATTCAAAATTTGTTTGAATTTCGCTGAAGCAAAAACTGAACTCGTGATATAACACAATTGTTTGATTGTATAACAACGGACGGTTCTTTTTTGTTCTAATAGACATCTGGTGAAGCAGGATCGTCGTTTCGAAGTGATGAACAAAGTGGAGATGGGGCTGGTGTGTTTCCGCATGGTCGGTCCCAACAAGTTCAGCGAGACACTCATTAACAGCATCAACGAGAGTGGAAGACTCCACATGGTGCCCAGTAGTCTCAATGGGAAGTACATGGTTCGATTCGCAGTCTGTGCCGAGAACGCCAACGAAGCCGACATCACATACGCATGGAAAGGTTTACCAAAATTCCGTTTCCTAAATTCAAAAATTACGAGTCTATAGTGACAACTGCCTTTGTTGTTTTTATATCATTCGTCTTTCGCTTAAAGTGAGTTTGCCTCAAAAGATTTGTTTATGAGAAAGAGATTTTTCAAATAAAGAGCTCCTCTGAATTTTTTAATACATTTTCCAGATTGAAATCGATCGTCAGTTTTTTCCTTCAAAGGTCCAAATTGTCTATTTGTGTTGCTTTGAGTTTTTCAGATACTCTCCACAATGGAGAGTAGAAAAAAATCACTTCGGAAATTGCTGCTTATTGAAGCAATAATGCGGCTGCAGGTGTTCTCGTATGGTCTGTTTTAGTGATCCAGCAGTTTGCGGATAAGATCCTGCGTCCGAGCGATATGGACGATGAACATCATCTGGAACAGCCGGGACCCAACGGGGAGGTGGTCGATTCAAAGGTAACTCAAACATGCTTGTGCTCAGAAATCATGAATTCTTGTTGTCGATTTTTTTGATACCCGGCTATTGAAAAAACTGCTTCTGTTAGACTATACACGGATGGAGTTCCAAAGTTAACTCTAATCACCATCATCGGCGTAAAACTTTCAAAACTTCCCTTAAAGGTTACGCTCATTGCATAAGTCCATTGAAACTAATATAAAAAATCAATGCTCTTTTAAAAATAACAAGAACCTTCACTCTTGATACTGTATCCAGGGAATGAAGAGGCTGGACCTGAAGCCCCTGGAACTGGGAGCGGATACTGTCATCATAGAGGAGGGAGCCCCTTTCTGCCCAGTGTCTGAGCTGATGACTGGTCCCTTCAGAGGCAGAACCAAGAAGCTCAGACAGACACAAAGTCTACATCTGTGGTGAACACGTGATCACGATGACGTCATCAAGTGATCAAAGAGAAATCAGAAGTCAAATACTGACCAAAACAGACAAAATAAATTTGAAGGAAAAATAATCGACAAACTAATAGACTAAACTATCATGATCACTAAGACCAGAAAACAATAATTCCTGGAGGTTCCAACTCTTCTATTAGACAAAAAAAAACGTTTTGTCGACCCAAGATTTCGTCTAGTCCATAAAGTATTGTAAGCATTTGCCTGAGGTCAATTAAATCGACTCACAACTTTATTTAAAATTTTAATTAGTTACTTAAAATTTCGAAATGTTGTTAAATGCTATCGAAAATCTGTCCAATTTAATTGCAATGCCTGATTTTGACTGTTGCCCTTTTTGAGGAAAAGACAGTATTGTGCTTTCATAAATGAAGTCCTGTGAAACGACAAAATAGTTCAAGAGCCAATAAGAAAAACCAATGAAGAGTCCTACTTGTGTATTTTTCTGAAGTTGGCGTGGATTAATATACATTGCAAACGATTAAAAAATATATATTAAAACCATGAAATGATCTGCTAGGAACCTAGCTGTAGAATTAGGGGATTCCTTCGCAAGCTGTGCCTTTGGCAGTGAATTCAGCGGGGCGACAGAGATTCACTACTTTTTACAATCCCAAAAGTGTTGGTTTGGTGGCAAAAATCCTGTATTGCTCTCTGTTGCTTGCCCTCTGTTGTGTATTGCTCTTTCGGCTGTCTTGTCTACTCGATACAATCGCAAGAGTTTCTAATTGTAATTTAATTCAGATGATTATACGTCTGATTACAGAGGGCTCGGATTGGCCAGGTTATAATATAATAATCAAATCAAAAGGAAAAGGGTCTGCGACTTATCAGCATAAATTGCCTTATTGCAATTAACTTCCAGCTAACTCCACTAATACTGAACTATTCTCTCTCTAGAGAATCTCTGACGAGAAGCAACTATCTACTATTTCTGCTACAGTTGTTTTCTTACTTCGAGATCTAACTACTTGATTCGCTAGTAATAATTCTTCTCTTCTCTGACGAGAACCAACAACTCCTAATAGTTGCTAACACTGTTCTGACTCTTAAAGGCTCTCCTGTACCCTCTAATTCCTTATCTTTCTTTACACTTAGTTTTAGTTAAGTCACGCCATTCCCTATCGGTCCTGACATCCGCTTAAATCACCCGTCCGCACATTTTTTAAGGCTATATCCATCCCCCTGTCACTTCTGCCACGTGCGAACTTGGGTTTCTTTTATCAATGTTTTCACGCTTATTAGTTACCCGGTATGCGGTAGCTGTCACAATTTAACCAAGCAAACAAATGTCATACGGTTCTAATCAACTAATTCCTGACCTCAGTGACTTCAGCCCTCGAGTTCAACTAACCTCTAAACCATGCTATGTTTACCCACTGACCCTCCCAAGATCTTAATTTTAAATATCCGTTAACGTTCCGACCTCCTAAGGGTAGGGGAGACCCTTTCTATGGGTAGCTAATTCATTTCAGGCATCTAAAATTTCCATCTGTACTCTATTCCAATCCCGACCTTCTAGCTATCAGGGTAATGTATTGCTTCTATTAGGGATCAAATCAAACCAAAAAGTCACCTCTGGGAAGCCAAGTAAAATCCCCGTCCGTTCATACGATTAAAGACACTTAATTTACAAGCAACGGTTCTATTACTATCAATTTCCTCTGGGACGACTTTTCTTTAACCTCGTTGAGATGCTATTAATAGACCACTCGCCAAGCTAAACTGAACCCAATGCTTACCAAGTCCTTTTTGAATTAAATCAACTACTCCAAGGTTGCAACGTACAACTGTATCTCGATCGGCTTCTGCTCTAATTCCCAATATAAGTTTTCCTCCCAATTTTCAGCAAGGTGACCCATTCTCATTTCCAGGGGTTGGGCTGGGAAAAACGCTACTTTACGGTGTTAATCTCAGGGTTTTACATACAAGTTTGAAGTCAAAACGCCCAAAGGTCCACTTAAAGTCATCCAGGGGTCAACCGGGGTCAAACTTCCATATTTGGGTTCAAAACCCCATGGAGGTCCTAACTACCAAGTTCTATCCATATTCCATTAATACTTCACAATTTATCCCATTACTAAGGTCCATTGTCACTTTTTCCGGAAAAAGACTATTAACACCGGAAGGAGTCGCCGGAGGGTTTTCACTCACCAGGGGTCTTTTTTGGGGTTTGTATCTTATGTCATTATGCCACCGTTCATCATTTCGCGTAAATTGCCTGTTTCCGGTATACGGGGTGTTTTTTCAAGTGCTAATAGCTTCCAATCCAACCACCGGATTTGGTTCATATTTTGATACAAGACGTACCTTGGTGTTACCTATGCTATCCCGAAGTTTTAGCTCCCTGCGTTCAGTGGGGTCCGAGAAACGACTTCCGGAAGTCGGGGTGGGGGCTATTTGCATAGGGCATAGCACCGGAAGTAGGGGTCCAGGGGGTCTGGGTTTCTAAACTTAAGCTTCCCTCAACTAGGGCTATAACATGCTATATTTTGGTTCCATTCGAACCGCTAGTTGCCGAGTTCGGATAGGGCCATCAATTCTGATAGTTATTACTTGGGGCCTGGGGGTCCGGAGGGTCTGGATTTTTGCATGCCCGGGTCAAATCATCTCTAGTGTCCGTCCTATGAGTTTCAGTAAACTAGCCCGGTAGTTTCCAATTGTGGGGGTTTGCAAAATCGGTACCGTTTCAAAATCCTGCTTAGTCTCTGTTTGTTTTGGTCGATTTTGCAACTTAACCAATTGTTTACTCTGCTACTTAACTTAATGACGAATCAGTCTTACGCTCAGTTTTCTATAGCATGTAATACAGTAGAATCACCAATTCTACACTAGCTAAGCAAAAAAATTGTGGTTTGTGTTTGGTTAAGCTTTTTGTGGACTTCCAGTTCCCCATATTTAAAATCAAAATCAATTTGCCACAATTCAGTATATATTTCTGCGAGCTTTGCAGTTTTTTGTGAAACCCACGAACAAAAATTAAAGGTGACGTTAATGCGGAGTAAAATTCAGAAACTGACTTTTTAAATTGACTTTGAATTTGAATGTTTTAAAGTTTTTTCATCCTTAAGTTGGCAGTTTTTGCAGACACAGAATTGCTTTAAATTGAAATCAAAATCAATTCATAAATAAAAATTCGAATGTGCGATACAAAAATCAGCTTGGGAATTCAGATCAGCAAATAAATGAAAAAAAAAAACTGTCATAGAAAACTTAACATGCAAAAAATTGAACAAAAAAAAGAGATTTGTTGCGTTGGAAATTACGTTTGTATTTTGATAAAAAAAGAACTCTTGAACAAATTTGAGTTTTTGATTTTTGCGGCCAAAAAACTCATTTTAAAGAACATTCTGCGGGCAAAAAACTCGTTTCCTAAAATTAAAAGAGGCCGTGGAATGGCACTGATGCAGCAGATACCATATACTATTAAGATCAACTGGTTGCTGTCTTAAATAGTAAAACAAATGTTTCGACGGTTATTATATAAAAAAGGAAACACCTCTAAACATTTTTTTCTAGATTCCATTCCAGTTTCTGTGGTAGAAAAATCGAATATTCTATTACCGCAGCTTAATAAAAACATTTTCAAGCATTTATGTGAGAGATAGAAAAAAAAACAGAAAAAAAATGTTCATAAGTCTTTTTTACTGCGCTAAAAAAGCTGAATGGAGCTCAACCAATCAAAAATCTTTGGTTTTCTTAGCAACTACGCCGGCGTGAACCAGAGAAGAGAAAAACATCAACACAGATTGCTTGCCTCGACCAATACAGCAAAACAATTAGAAATTTTATATGGACTTTTGCCTTATCTGGTTTTTCCAATTTTCTGTTTCCTCGAAAATGTAGGATATTCGAGACGAGAGAATTTTTATGCACAGTTGGCAAATTTCTCATAGCTGATGAGTCACAGTTGGTAAATTTTTTATGGCTGATGATAGTATAAGACAAATATTAACGCAGAAACTTAGAAGCAAAGAACCATATAATTTTCGGGTGATAATTTTTTCTTGCTTTCAAACTCAAAATTTTGAAGTTTTGATACTATTGTTCGGCCATTGATGCTTTCGAAAAAAAGCCCGCTAGATTTTGTTTGTGTAAGTTCAGTAGTAGTTCACTATTTTTGCGTATGTAACTATCTTTGATATCATTCAAACCAGTAGCGGTTTTTGGGGGGGGGGGGCGAGGATGGGGGGTTCCGACGCTTCCTTTTCAGAGATTCGACCCCCTGCCGACCCAAAAGGTCCCCTTTTGTACTATTTTGAGAAATCAATTTTTGGCCGAAAGACCTTAAAAATTTTCTAAAGACGCCTTTGGAGCCAATCTATACTAATTTTTTGGGGGGAGCGCGCCGAGAAAATGCGATTTTTTGGTCGAAATTTTTCAAGAAGTGCATATAAACCCCTTTTTTGGCCTTTTTTTTTTACAAATTTGAGATCAAAAACTAACCCGAGATGAAAAACCCGAGATCAAAAAACTAACAGCCAAACAATCGGATCGATCAGGATTGGTTTGCAAGCACTATATACTAGCGATATCTCAACTTTTTTTTCCAGGTAGGTCTGCGCTGTTGGCTTTTAACCAAAACTAGTTTTGATTTAGTTCTTAAGCAACATTTTTGGATGAGCACAGGGGCTGATCTAGGATTTTCTCGAGGGAGGGGGGATTTTCAAAAATTTTGAAAAAACAGGCCAAAAAGGGCGTTTTTAGGCAGTTTTTGGAAAATTTCGACCAAAAAATAGCGTTTTTTTTGGCGCGCACTCCCCCCTGAAAATTAGTATACCTTGACGCCAAAGGCGTCCTTAGAAAAATTTTAAGGTCAGTCAGCCAAAAATGGATATCTCAAAATAGTACAAAGGGGGACCCTTTGGGTCGGCATGGGGTCGAATCCCTGAGGGAGACCATCCGCCCCCGCCCCATACCTAAATCTGCCCCTGGATGACAAACCAAGGTTTGTTTGGTTTGTTTCATTTGTAACCAAAAATACCTGCCGACTTTTTGACAGCTCAGAGGCAGCTAATTTACTAAAATTGAAAAACTAAAATTGAAAAGCTAAAATTGAAAAACGGATCTCTCTAAAAAAGATTCTAATGATATACCGCAATCAGTTTTTATTCAAGTACATGTAGTGTTAGCTACAATGACGTAGTGCAAACAGTTTGACTCATAGAGACTGAAACGAGATAAAATAAAAACGCCTTGATTGTTAGTTTACCTGACTTGTTCTATTTTTTTTCTAGTACGTTGTGATATCCTATGAGGTGTCTTGTTGGAAAACTAAATTATAATACCAAAGAATTTAATTGTTTAATGAATTAATAG